AATTTGTGCATGACATAATTCACGATTTAATATTTATCGTATTAGTAGCTCTCTGTAACATCAATATACAATTATCTTTTACGGCCACACAAAAATAGAACAATTTTTATCTCTCAACTGCAAACTTTTTGGAACGATTAATGTGCTAAGGTACACAGGCGATTTATTTTAAAAAAAAGAAGTTTTTGTCGTTTGTTTTTCCTTCAATTTCATTGTTTCGCATGATCTCCGTTTAATGAATTCTGTTTTTGTTTTATAAATCTTTTATTGTTTTATTGTCAATGGTTTCACCGTCAATACGGTGCGGAGAAAAACTTTTTCTTCGAAACCAATTTGAATATTTAATTCACATTAAAGAATTTTAGGCGCATAAAAAAGAAGACATATTTTGAATCCGGTTCCAAGTGAAAAATGTGCATGATTTTATCTTGAAAGAAAACAAAAAAGCCTAATTTTAATTGCATTGAAATCCCTTGTCAAAATTCAATGGACCATCTAGTTTATGACAATAAATCACTTCACGAATGAAGGAACCGAATTATCCACAAAAAAAAAAAAATCCATGTAAAAAAAATCACAAACTGTAATTAGGAATGGATGAACAAGGGACAAAATGAAAGACACAAAAAAGACAATGAAATTCGCTAGATCAGAAATGACCGAACGACTGAATTCGATGAAAAAAGCATAAATTTAATTTGACCTTGCTCACCGACGTTTCAAAGCCAACGTCAAACTTGAATTATGCCATTAGGATGTTTTGTAACAACGTACAGCAAACGGTCACGGAATAAAATCTTTCCTTATTTCAATATTCCCATCGCGATTTGGCAAACACAGTTAAAAGCTTTGAAATTATTCTCGGCATTAATTGAACTTGTGATATTGAATTGGTCGAACGCAATTTATGTTTGCCATTGCTTTATCGCCTTTGTAGTAGCTCAATGATTGTCAAAATTCATGTAAATTAACTATGACATACACGACAGGAGCGTGCTCGTTTATTGTTTTCACAATCACATCGAGCCCACATTAAATCATAAGAAAAGTGTCGACTCGACAGAAGTTCGATTATAATTTTTGGCTTTGTTATTCAAAATACATTACCATACTAATTTCATGCATTTATTTTCTTTAAATAGAGGGACAATCAAATGTATTGATTTGGCTCGAGGGCACAAAAAGGTATACGGATCATGGTGTAGAAAAGAGTGCTCGAAATCGAAAAACCATCTCGAACGAAAACGGTGCACATTTTTTTAATTCTCTCTCTCTCCATCTTCTTCTTCGCTTTCTACTTCATTTTTGTTCTACAACTTTCTTATTTGTTCGACATGATTTAACTTTTGTGTCCGCGCCATGAACTTACGCTATTTTGTCTCATGCGAAGTACATTAAACTTCTTGGACTTGATTTGAACAAATTTTAAAGAGAAAATTGAACCAAAGAAGTGGCAAAGAAGAGATAAAATTGACAAGAACAATGTTAGAGAAAGAAGCAAATAGACAGAAGGAGAGAGAGAGAGAGAGAGAGAGAGAGAGAGAGAGGAAAAAGAAAATAATACAATTTTGCATGCTTTTTCCGTATTTTTTCGTTGGTTCTCTCCGTGCATGTATGTGTATGTGTGTGAAAACGTTTATCGACACAACTGTTGAATGACGACAGAAATGGTTTGTCGATGCCACAAGATTCGCTCGTAGAAATCACTGAGATAAGGATCAGCCTTTTTAATTTGAACTTTTCTTGGCTTTCAGCAACACACGCAACGACAGCACCAGCAGTGTAAGCTTACGTCTTATCGAATTAAATATCCGAATGAGAACATTTCTGGCAACAAAAACGATGTGAAAATCTAACGTTTCAATGGCACCGAAATCGGTTTATTTCTCGTTTTGTTTTCCACTTGAACATTTCAAATCGTTTTTAAAGTGATGAAATAAAATCTAAAATAGAATATTGAAATGAATAATTACTTTACATATGCGAATTGATATTGTTGACATTAATTTTCATCGTTTTCATGAATGAGAAGGGTTCATTGATTTAAAGTGGTTTAAAGTATTTAATCAGATCGTCTTGTTATATTACATATATGGATAAGCGTGTGCGTTGGCATCGAATCCTCTACGTTTTAATAAGATTATGTGATGCTTATTAATCAATGGCTCACGGATTAAAATGTATGCACAACAATATCCATCCGTATCATAATTTGGGATGTGCTGGACATTTTACTATCAATAATAATTAGTGTTGAATGCTTTCGCACTTACTCTTTCCACCATATTCGCTTTATCATTCACAGACTCATGCCATTTCTTTATCTATCCCATTCCCATGTCCTTCACCAACTCTCTCTTCTTTCGAGAGTGTATTTATTCCATGTGAGGCATTTGAATGAGGCGCAAAACAGTGAATAAACAAACTCTCATCGCATCCATATTAAGCAAACAAATAAGAAACTCCTGTTTTTCATTTTACCATTGCAAATAGCAAGTAGATCTTTCTACTTTGCACCCGTTTTCGTTTTATCAATAACACTCTTCGCGAGATACGATTTATCATTTATCGCACATAGCTGTCTGCTTTTTTTTTATTTTGCCATCGTGTATTTCACAACTGAGCAATGAGCACTGAACACACTGAATGCATAACAAGCTATAACATAATAAAACATCCATTCATAATTACGTTGAAAAAGCATTTTACTTCATGTAATTTAATCCGAGTAAACTCGATGTGGTATACCAAGACAAACTCTCACAATGTTGACTTAATAAATGCAAATTCATCAGATAAATGGCATTTATTTGTTTTTGATCATCTTTTCGCCGCGAGATTTTCATTACTTCATGCAAATATGAACGCGGATTTATTGAATGGATGTGCGATTATTCGATGTAATACATTATTTAAAAAATTTAAGCTCATCGGCCCATCTGAATGACCGAAGTTAGCATTTATTGTATTTACTTTTGGTGTTACTGTTTGCAAATGCAACTATTTTATCATATGAGAAAAACCGAATTTGTTGCAACATGGGAAAAAAGAAAATCGACAACACTGCACCATTTAAACAAATTAAATGAAATGAGTTGCACGTGAAATACAGATTTTACAGTGATGAAACAAAAAATATGTGGAATACATTAGTCTACAGTTTAGGTCATTTGAAATGAGCCATAGAATTTAATTAGTCTCATTTGGTTGAGTAAGCAAATAAATTGTTTTCATTGCTTGGCATGTACTGCACCCGTTCCAAAAAAAAAATTAAAGTAACAAATAATATAACAAGAGGTGGAATAAATTTAATTTTAGAGTAGAGATAGAAAGTCTTCGAACATTTTTGTATTTTTATAACTGTAATACCAAAAAAGAATCTTATATAAAATGCACCCATATGCAGAACAAAAAGTCCGCACAGAAGAGAATGCAAAAATGTATCTGATGAACTTTTGCATTGTATTTAACGCGCTCAGCGACTGACAATCAGCATCTAAACATATTAGTAGATATTCATTCAGCAAATATACTGCTCTGTCCGGATGTGACGTTTTTCTAACCCGGCCTCGTTGTATAGAGCAAAGCGATCGGTGTATAAAATGCATTATTTTAAAATTCGAATTGAAAATTGTGCAATATCCCCGTTGTCATTTTCATCAAGCGATTGTCAATTGATTGCAGTCATTGCGGTTTCATGACACACGTCAAACAAGCCCTGGAAACTCTCAATATTTCAAACTAAAGATTATTTCAGATCGCCACGACATTGGTGTTTGTAGTTTGAACAACATCATCTAATAAAACTATAATGATTTCCGGTCCTATGTTCCCAGAAACGGATGAAATGCAGAAACGGATTCAATACATAAGCGATTTAGACATAGTCAAATGCAGGTTCTTAATAGTAATAATAAAACTGCTTGGCTTGATTTTTAGGTACCAAAAATGGTTGTTGAATTCAATTCAATTCACCACTCTTTACTTCGTAAAGATTAACAAAAACTAGAAACACCATGTTTTTTTTCAGTCTCTCAACATTCTCAGTTTTCTCTATCTATCTTGAAGTAGTTGCCTTGCAGTTTTTTTATTCGTGTGTATTTCTTCTATCGTGGTTCTCTTCGTCTGATAATAATTCGTTGTTTTTTCCATTAGCTCATTTTCATTGCATGATCTTGACGCCAGACGAGAGAGCACTAGTATTTGTACAAAATGCGCTTTCAATTCAAAAGTTTTCACGAGTATTTTTTATAGTTGAATGACTTCCGATGAAAAACAAAGCATTTAATTTTAAACAGTCTTTAGTTTTGGTAAAAGTTTTAGACAACGTCACACAAAAGGCCATTTGGGAGATGGTTTATATTATGAACGTTAACATGCCCGAGTTCATTTTATTTGTGTTAATTCCAATAACAAAGATGCATCGTTTCTTGCATAAGTTGTGCACAACATGACAAATACACGGATGAATAATGTTTATGATGCTTCATAGTGATCAACGAGAATGCCAGCTTATTTTCGGATCTATAACATTTCACCAAGTTGAATATTACTTTATTCACCGCAATTTTTCTTCAAAAAATTCATTATAAAATTTCTCTCTTTCATCAAATATTTCATGCGGTATATGTGCTTCAATTGTCCGGCAATAGTAAACATCATGAAAAAAATATCGCAATTACTGCACTCCATTCCGTTTAAAATGAATAATAAATCGAGATTTGAATTGCTTTTCAGTTCTTTCATCGTTTGTCATTTTATTTAATTGAGAAGGAAAATGGTCGTTCATTCGATGAGTTTCGTTTTCGATTTGATTAAGATCCGAATAAAACGTCTAATAAAAATTCATATTCGACACAATTGGCGCCGATGGAAAAGTACCAATCAATACGTTCATTAAGTACGTACTCCTAGAAATAAAGTATGCTCAAGTAGATTTTAACTTTATTCTGACGTTTCAGTTCGGCAAATGTCAATAATAACAACTTTGAACTACCAACCACAAAATACTGTACATTGTTGTTTAAAGTTCTTTTATTGATGTAAAACAAATGGACGTGTCATTTTGGACAAATTTCAATGTTGACAAAGTATCGAAAATGTATGTTCCGCCGGTGATTAATGCAATTAAAACACTTATATTTTTGATTGTGATAATTGTTTTCATATGTTTTAGTTCCCGCTTTAGCACACAGCAACACCAACATAAACGCGCACATACACACAGAGAGACCAAACGTTCTAAAGTACGACATATTGAAATTCATTGAAATTGACATAGTCAAATGTCTGCCATCGTCACAGAATATCGTCAATTTTTTTTTCCATCGTTCGTGTTCCAGCTCTCTTTCGCACTCTTTTTTACTATCATACAAAACTGTGAATGAACGGCAAATTGATTCAAGAAAATAAAGAAAAAACGAAACACCACTCAAAAACGTTGAATGACGGCAAAATTCCAAATAAATTCAAAGTACAATTATTGTATACAAACATCAGCTCGTTAACCGTGAATGCGGAAATATTTCACGGTCAATTTATTTGGTTAAAAACTATCTATAAAACAAGAATCAAAACATTAAACTACGATCGACCAGCGATTGGTTTCTTTTTCTTCGCTTCACGTTGCGCTATAACGAATTTGTTCATATTGTGTGACAAAACTTTTGTTCTACTTTGACAAACATTCGGCACTTATTTTTAGTCCATATATTCGGTTGATATTGAATAGAACGATAGCAGAAGAAAGAAAAACATGTGTTACATTAAAAAAACGGAAATGTAACCGCCCGATATTCGCAAAATCGACGAAATAACAAACAACAACTTTGAATGTATTAATCTGCCGCTGGACAGTACAGAACACTTAATTGTTCAAGTTCATTGTGTATGCGTGCATTTGTGAGTTACTCATCTGATTTTTTTTGGTACATTCATTTATTCTTGGAATTTTAATCAATTTTCATTTTAGATTAAAGATGTCATGTCCAACATTCAATTGACACAGATTTGAATAAGCGAAGAGACAGATCTTCGCTGCGCTCATCAAAATCATCCGTATTTTTTATCAAAATTTTATACATCACAACATTTCTAATGTAAGTAAGTTTGACTGCAATTGTCACATGTGTACATCGTATGCATGCTCTTGCAATTTTAATTAGTGTCACACAATTTATTTTAAAATTATTTTTCTCTCTTTTTTCTTGGTCAATGTTATCGCGACTTTGGAACATTTGATTTTCCAGATTTATTTTGTGGAGTGTGAACGGGGCGCGTGTGTGTATGTGTATATGTGCACGTGAGAGAAGCTGGTTTCTCTTGATTTTTGAATATGCATGGTAAAAACGATCATATTTTTGTGCCAATCGCTCCAACCGATACAAACGTTGCGCCGGGCAAAAAGAGTTGTCGACGTGTAAGTTTATTTTGTGCGATTTATTTTTTTGCGAACCGAAAACGTCATTAAGTAACATTGTACATACGTACAGCACAGATAAGAGAACATACAAATCGCCATTACATGGATTCTAAATTGAAAATACGATACAAATGTTTAAAAGTTTAATTATCAAACTTCGTGCTGTCATATCGTAACTCAATAAGTTGAGATAAGATTAAAAAGATAGAACCAATGAACTAGTTCTTATTTAATATTATTGCAAAATTGAAATTGCTATTGAATCGTTGAAATTCAATTAAGCTCATGACATAGAACGTTCACAATTTTGAATTCATTTGTAAGATCGAAGTCTGTGGTTCTCATTTTGTGTTTGTGTGTCAATTAGTCGTAGTTGAGCCTTCATGCCAGTTTGAACGGATAATGAAGCATATTCATTCAAATGTGATGTAAATATAGCGTACATCATCGCGTAAATATGCAATTATTTAGACTGTTCATATACGTGATACGTTGTGTTTTTTTTGCTCATTTTCTGGCAAATAATCAAAACCATGCATCTAAATATATACAAAAATTATATACATATATATGCACAATCAAAGTAATGCTTTGATGAAAGAATGAACATTTATTCCGGACATTTGACATACATGTCATGTAACATGTGAATAGTAAATTTGAAATGTGGCATTCTCACATCGTCCATAAAACGTATGTCAATTGAATGGATATTTATAGATTTACTAGTAATTCGACTCTTTCACAAATGAATTCAATTTATTAATTGTAATAAATATTTTAATTCCAGTATTGGAACCAGTTATCACGTCTTCAACGTAATATTATAATTGTATTGATCTCTGTACTTTGCGTAATACTTCTTCTGTCGATACCGTCAATTCAAAGTAATGATTCAGCCAATAAAGAATTAATTTCAAATCACATTCAAATAACACCGATACGCGATCAAACGAACAATGATTTGACCGCATTTGATGTAAGCAAACGGAAATCCAAACATCAAGATGATAATGAAATTCAAGTACAAGCAAATGATTTAAACAGCAATCCGATATTGGATGATGCGGCAAATGAAAAAGGTGATGACGGCAACAATGTGATGGCAAATAATGTGATTGACAACGTAGAAAATGTACAAAATAGTGCAATCGATGAAGGTGAAATTAGCACAAAAGTCAAAGTGTTTAAAGGGCCAACAAATGATTGGCAGCGTGCTGTTGTTGGCGCTGCCAAACATGCATGGAGCGGATACAAGAAATTTGCATGGGGCCATGACAATCTTAAACCAATTTCAATGGGATCGCACGATTGGTTTGGTTTAGGTTTAACCATAGTCGATTCCCTCGATACCCTGTACATCATGAATATGCAAGAAGGTATGTTGTGCATTGTGCATATATATGCATACGGTTTTTAATCGATAATTTTCGTATAACTAATCAAAAATGGTGTCGTCTCATCGATTGATTTATTACAGAGTATGAGGAAGCCAGAAATTGGGTCGATTCATATTTGAAATTCGACGTTAACCGTGACGTTAATTTATTCGAAGTTACCATTCGCGTACTTGGTGGTTTACTGGGCGCATACCATTTGTCCGGCGATAAAATGTTTTTAACAAAATCAGTAAGTGATCCGTAGAAACTTTTTTTTAGATTTATTTCTTGAACATATATTTTTATTTTCAGACTGAATTGGGTAATAGGCTAATGCCAGCATTCAGTTCACCATCTGGCATACCATATTCGGATGTAAATCTTGGCACGATGGTAGCACATTCACCAAAATGGTCACCAGACAGTTCAACAAGCGAAGTGACAACTATTCAATTAGAATTCCGTGATTTGACCCGTATAACAAACGATCCAACCTTTGAAAATGTAAAACACACCTTTTTCATTCATTTGAACTAGTTGAATTTCAATAATTTACAAAAATTCAATGTTTATTATACAGGCAGCGAATAAAATAAATGAAAAAGTGCATAATTTGGAGAAGAAAAATGGTCTGGTACCAATTTTCATAAACGCAAATACAGGAACGTTTCGTAATTTTGCAACAATATCATTGGGCGCTCGTGGTATGAAAACAAATCGTTCGAACTAATACTAATTATTATAATTTAAAAATCAATTGATCAATTTGAATTTGTTGATTTTCTTTATTTATTTTTTTCAAGGTGATTCGTATTATGAGTATCTAGTAAAACAATGGATACAAACGGGCAAAAAGACTAATGACTTGTATGTGTCAATTAAATTTAAATGAACAAACACAAAAGAAGTGTAATTTTAAACGTTTCCATTTCAGTTTGATCGAAGACTATATTGCCGCAATTGATGGCGTTATCGAGCATCTGGTGCGACGAACACCAAACGAAAAATATGTATACATTGGTGAATTAATCAATGGCAAAGATTTCAAACCAAAAATGGATCATTTAACATGTTTTCTGCCCGGTACATTGTTGCTTGGCTATGTAAATGGTATGCCTGAGTCACATTTGCATCTGGCTCAAGATTTAATAGAAACCTGCTATCAAACGTATGCAAAACAACCGACATTTTTGTCACCCGAAATTGTTTACTTTAATTTGAATGGCGAAAGTGAAACAGATATTTATGTAAAATCAAACGATGCACACAATTTATTACGGCCCGAATTTGTTGAGAGTCTATATTACTTTTATGCATTAACCGGTAATACGACCTATCAGGAAATGGGCTGGACGATTTTTCAAGCGTTCGAAAAGTATACAAAGGTGAAAAATGGCTATACGTCCATTGGTAATGTGAAAAATGCTTTAAACACCCGACCACGCGACATGATGGAATCCTTTTATCTTGGCGAATTATTAAAATACTTTTATTTACTGTTCAGCGATAACCGCAAGGAAATCGATTTAGAAAAATTTGTATTTAATACCGAAGCGCATCCCATTCCCATTCGCAACAATTAATTGTGATCATTTAACGAATTAGAAATATTTGTTTAAATTTTTATTATGTTTCCCCTTTTTTTTAATTTGATAACTTAATTTAGTGTAAACCGTCTAAACGCCTCGTGCGAATATGCAACACAAGTCTGGCAATAATAAGCGAAGAAGAAGCAGAAGAGTAAAAATGATGTAACAAAATGAGCTTAAACGATATTTGTGTGTTTTTTGTTATATTTATTGTATTGATATTAATTTAAGGGCTGTTTCGTACATATTCCTCCTTCTTCTCAAATGAGAAATGTCTAGTTTAGTTTTGTTTACTTTTTTTTCTGGATTCAGGGTTGTTTTGCTCATTTCATGTGTAAATTAAAAACAAAATTATAAAAAAAATCAACAATTATTTATTCACTCTCACTGCCAACAATTCCGCGTGGGAAACACTTGGTGATTTGATATTGAGAGCAAATTGTGTTAGGGCGTTTAATCGTAAACGTTATATTGTGCAGCATAGCAACAGTCAACTAAGATAAGAAAAATAAACATATTATTATAATTATGCCAAATAATCCAGAAATCAAAAATGAGAAATAAGAAAAAAATGTTGTTGTTTGTAAGCACACGAAAGATATGCCTAATTTTATGAAAATATCTCTCTCTTTTTTTTTTTTTTTTGTAAAAATGTCGGAGTGAACAAGATCACAAACGACGTACACATTTGGTGTGTTGAACTGAACGACAAACAATTTATTGGTCAAACAAATGTTTCAGTATGGAACCAATTGCACTGTTTTAAAGCGCTTCATTTTTTCTTTACTAATTCTTATGTTTTTCTGTTTCGAAAAAGAAAACAATACTAAAAGAATGAAATTGTGTCCGAATTAGAATTGTATTCATATATTCTATGAAAATAAAAAAAAAAACGGGTGCATTTAAAGAAAAACCTAGTAGTCTTTAGTAAAAATATTATATAGGAATAGAAGTACCATTAGGACAAGTCAAGATATCGATTTAAATTAAATGCATTTCCAAGTGCAAACGAAATATTTATGAAAAAATTAAACAATTTATAAGCATAAAAGCGATAAATAAAATCCATTTAAAAAGAATTCCTGATCCATTCCTTTGATTCATTCTGTTCCATTACTTATTGATTAATTTCCATTTTTCCATTCTTCTCTTCTGGTCAACCCTATGTAGTAGTGTGGAGAACGTTTTCTTTCGTCTTTGGTAAACAAGCGTCATTTTTTTTCTATATGGATAATTTTCAATGAGGTCAGCATTTCATTGGCAACCTTGAAAGTCATTTTTTTTGCACATAAAGTAGAAGGTCGAATAATTGATCCTATTTTATTCATACATTTCTTAAGTTTGCTGAATTGTGTCATTTCTTATCACATGTATGCTGGAAGAAAGAAAATCGCCGTTTGGTATGAGTGTACACGTCTCAACTTGGTAAATCGTTGCACACAAATACATCGGTTGAATGAGCTGTAAATCAAATCATTCGGTAAATTGAATAACGACATCAAACAGAATGCGTTTGATGAATAAAAAAGGAAATGTCGATTTTTGTTGAAAAAAAAGTAAATAAAAGCCATATAACGTAATGTTTGTTGAATTTTTTTTACTTCTTATTTTATATCTATACAGCTGCCATTTAGATTAATTTGAAGTAAGTTATGATTTTTCGTGTGTTTTTACTGCTCACAAATAATGAAAGATGTTGAAATTTGTTGTAATTGTGATCTATTATAAATTATTTACAAAAAAGAGTTTAGTATTAGCCTTATACTAATAGCCTTTGAATGAATTACTTTACATGACAAAAAATGCGCACATTCATTAATTTAAAAAAATTTCTTAAATTTGTTGGGATTTTTTTTACTCTCTTCGTTTTATTTTTCTTTATATATTTATAGTAAGTGTGTTTTTGTTTTTTTTTCTCAATACGTTTCACATCCATATGCTCAGTGTTTTTCTTGTCCTTAAAACTTATTGCTGCGAGTGTTTTAGTTTTAATTTTTTTTTGGTTTTTCACTTTTGTGATTTGAAATAATAGAAACAAACATTGAGAAATACTGTGAAAAGTATATAAATATGCACGCAAATATTGTTCGGCCTTTGATAATTTTTCAACCCGTTTTGAATTAAAAAAAAAAAAAACATTGTGTACGTTTTAGTATCAGTTTGAAAAATAATATATATTAGTTCGTTTTGTGATGAAATGATTTCATTTTTTTTTTGTCTAGCTTTTCCTCTGAATTTAATTTTTTTCATTAACGTGTAGAATTTTAGGTTAGGCAAGATCAGTCAGCAAATGTTCAATGATAAATAAATTGTTATTTCATGTGATGTCAATTAAAGCATAAATTATGGGGGCGAGGGGACGAAACAAAATAAGTACATTTATATTTTTATATTTAATGTTCAATAAAATAAATTAAGTGCGAATTGTATTAAATTTTGCATTTGTTATCTTGCTATTGATGGATTTTCGTTAAATAGTAACATTTTCCATTTTATTTACCAATCCCGCTTGAAGATTTTGTTTTTTTTTTTTTTGTTTTGTTGCATATAATTTAAGTGTTTACTTATCAATTTCTTGTAATGTGTTTCAAAGAATGTTTCTCAGGTCAACTGAACCAAAAGGGGAAAAATAGAAAAAAAGGAAAATGTGCATTGCATATAATCTGACCCCATTATTCCCCCCTCCCTCCCTCTCTCTCTCTCTCTCTCTCTCTCTCTATCTCTCTCTCTCTTCGAATTTGTTAAACTAAAAATAAATATATTTTATTTTCACAATAAATCACGCTAGGGATACGCAAGAAAAAATTGCTAGTAAAACTTGTTTCATGAAAACACTAACGCATTTTTGTTTTGTTTACTTTTGTTTCTGCGTTGTCGTCGTCGTTATTTACGATCGATCAGCAAGTCGATGAAATTGTACAGGCGATTAAATAAAATCGAGAGCATTTGTTCTGTGATTTTTTCTTCACTCGTTAAGCTTTCGATTATTAATCTATGAAATTTGCTACAGCGAAATGTACCAATTGAATGCAATCGCAATTTGTCCATTCAAACAATTTGCAAATTGCATTTTAAAATGCTCGTTTTAAAATATTCAAATGTTCGCACATAAAAGTTCATCGTCTTTGTTTTTGTTTCAGTTTATTTTAGCACCCTAAGGCTAGTCAATAATTTTCTTATACAGTCTTTTGTGCAGTTTTCACGATTTTAAAATGTTTTTTTTTTCTTTACATTTTTGTTTCAATTCTCTATGTCTGTGAATTTTTTTTTGCTAAATTCTTCTAAACAAAATTACAACCAAATCAACTTATTTTTTTTCGCATCGTGCGCTCTCTTAAAAATGACGCAGATTCCATTGCATCTAATGCACAAATTTCGTTTTCTCTTGCTACGAGAGATTCTCTAGCATACATAACAAAACATTTCCATAGTTTTTTTTTCTCTATCTTTCTTTTAAGTGTGCTTGTGGAGGTCTCTGGATCCTCCACTGTAATTATAAACCCTGTAAAACAATTTTCGTTTCTTTTGTTGAATTTTAAAGTACACGCTAAACACATTTCAGTCAATAAATTAAAATAAAAGAATGTTGGAATGAAAATCAATATTGAAATTCGGCTTCCACTCAGGTTAACCACCTAATTCATGTTATTTTTTCTCGTGAAAGATCTGTTGAGAAAAATAGAGAAAAATTTATAAATTAATTATTTGAAACGAGACGAAAGAAAAACTCACAATTGGATATAGTGCTTTTACCATACCTTTCCATGTAGTATGTTCTTGATGCTAAGCAGTTAATGAATGTGCCGGACATTTTTTTTTGAATGTTCGTTTTCTTTTAAAATCTGGATCAAATCCGAAACTGAAAATATTTATCTCGAGCCATACTCATTTCACAACGCCATCAATAAACACACATTGAGAGGATAAATTTGTTGCATTTGATATGTACACTGTTTTGTGGGTGTGTGTGTCAGTGGGCTCCTTCAAATGTTGGCATAATGAATTGAATTATTTTCTTGTCTGTGTTTTGTCATTTATAAAAGAATGCACGAAATTTTTTGCTATCATCAAATTATTTTTTTTTAGTTTAATTGTTACTTTTTTGTATGAAAATTAAATAAATTAAAAGCCGGATACAAGCGTTTCCATAGTCACAAATGAAATTTAAATAAAAAAAAATGTATGTGTGTTTTTTGTTGTTGTTGTTTTTACCGAACAGTTATTGTTCGATTGCAATATAACATATAATAATTTGTTTTTAAAGCTTCATTTCAACGGTAATTATAAATGAGCTTGTATACAAGGAGATCGTGTGTGTGTGTGTTTGTGTGCGCGTCAAAGTGTTTAAAAACAAGAATGTTCTCTTCTCTTTTGTATTGCACAATGCATTTTCATTGTGCCCGTGTAAATGTAAATGTGAAACTAAAACTGTGCCTTTTCCGATCATTTGCCAACAATATACTATATAAAAAGAAATTGTGGTTTGCATGATTTGCATTAACCAAACAACAATTCGAATGCATCTTAGAATACCAATTCGCTATTGATCGATCAGCTTAGAAACGGTGAATTTTGATGTGTATTTTGAGATGGTGAGAAATGAAAATCGTTTGCCGTCGATGCTTGTTGATGTATTAGATTTGGTGTTAATGGTCCATCTGATAAAAATGAGCCCATCGATTGATCCATAAAATGCAATGATTCATTTTCGCTATTTTGTAAATTTAAAATTGAATCAATTGCATTTTGCACATGCTGATTAACCATATCGTCATCAAAACTGGGCGCAATATTATTGGCATTGTCGTTGGCATTTGACTGTGTGACATTATTATCAGCTCCTGTCTGATAGACATTTTCATTATGCATATGCATCAATACCGAATTTGCATTGTCCAATGTTGATGGCGATGAATGCGCACTTAAACCTAGGAGATCACGTTCAATTAGATCGTTTGTTTTCACCGACATCGCATTGAAACAGGATTGTTTCTTTTGTTCCATATCGCCGCCCATCAAAACATTGTCATTTTCAATGCCATTATCACAGGCCAAAATACCATTCCATGAATTGTTGCCATTGCGTTTATTTACATCGGCATCCATGTGGAAATCATAGCTGGACGCTTGTTGACAATCCATTATCCATTGATGATCATCTGAATTTGTGGTTTCCATGAACGAGGTCATCATACACGATCGCTTTGATGGATGCAATTGATTCATATTCATTTGCGGCAATACATCACCGTTATTCGGCCAATGACGTTTATTCTGGCCGGTTGTTTGTTGATGTGGTGTCATCATGAATTCGGAATGATTTTCAACATGATGGAACGTTTGATTCCTATTAATCAAATAATACAAATAATATTTATTAATCGATTATTGTTTCGAATGGTGAAAATGGAAAACTTACATTTTATTCACAACCTGCGATGAATTTACGGATGAATGTGATGGCGATGAACCATGAAATAGTTCTTCTAATCGTGACTCAACCAGATCGTTGGTTTTATCAAAGTCCGGATTATCGTTGAACATATTTTCCAAGCGATTCTCAACCGATTTATCACCGGCATCAACATTATCAACCGTATTATTTACTATCGAATCGTTGAACAATTCGGACAGTGGCAAATGGCTGTCCATATCAGTTTTTTCATCGTCAAGATTATGCGAATCGTTTGGACGTTGACTGAATAAATCCGAAAATTGATTGTCCACATTTAGTTTTGAACTTGAACATGGATTTTCATCGTCATTGCTGAAATTCCGTAATGTGGATTCCATGAAACCATCAATATTCAAATCGTTTGATCGTTTATCGGATATTAAATTCAATTCTTTTTGAATGCAAAGCCATTCGTCATACGGTTCTTTATCACAGGCGATTAATTCATCTTTTCGACGATTGCTGGTTGCATGATTTGTATTACTGTCACTTGGACTGCACAAATAATCAAAATCGGATGAGCTCAATGGACTATGAACAATATCCGATCGATTCGATTGATCGCATTTTTTCGATATATAGCACGGCGTTATTTCCGATTCAATATCCAAATTGTCAAATTCTTTTTTCACATCGTAGCTAGTTTGGGCACGTTTCGGTGGATCAAGCAAGTTCGGATCATAGCCAAAATTCATATCCAATTGAGATAGTGAATTCTCTTTGTTCGATACTGATTGAAATGATGGTTTTATATCCATTTCGGTTAGATTTGATCCAGACACGTTGTTTGCATTCATATTGTTTGTCTGTCGACCCATATTTTGGTTATTGAATTCGGTGACAGTTGTTGGTATAAAATCTTGTTGTTCACCTTTCATTTCATTTTTTATCGCTTGACTCATGCTATTCGTCGATAAAAATGAATCGTTGATTTTTTCCGAATTTTTCTTGATCAAATCGATCGATGGCTTTTCCTCACATTCGAAGTCATCGTTATTCATTTTGATACAACAGTTCGATTTCATTTGATCACGTTGCATTGCAAATACATTGGAATTGATTTTTTCATTGGATTCAATTGGTGAAATCTCTTTTACGATATTATCAATTTGCGTGTCAGCGATTTCTTCGTTTAAATTTTTCAATTCAGATTGAATCAACGAAATTTCCTCTTGAATATCCGACACAAGCATTCGATCTAACATCATCAATTCGGATGTTCTTACAGTGCGCTATAAATGTAAGGAAGACGAAAGTAAAACAGTTAATTTTTGTACAAATCGATTAATAACAATTAATTCCGTTTGACATACCATCGATTCTTTCATTAAAAGCAATTGGTATTTGTTCATCATCATGTTGTATTTTTCTTTCAGTTCGTATGCAACATTGACAAAGCGTTCCTCATCTTCCGATTGATTTTCATTGTCCGGTTCATTCTCCGAGTACAAACAGTGATACCTGCAGAACAAATAGTTTTTAATATGCCATTCTCACTTGTTTTGGCTAAATAATAACAACAATTTTGAAGTATTTACCTGATTAGTCGCAAGACAGCGTCCTCTTTACTTTGGAATGGACTTTTATAGTCCGGATTGATGCAGCTATCTTGATCAACTTTCAGTTGTCTCTCCCATCTGTCAAAATAAAAACAGTGAAAAATTGTGTTTCTTTAGAATCTTAATTCTTAATCGAAATCCTACAAAGCGACACATCTAATCACAATAAATATTTATAATAATGAACACAAACTCACAAACTAGATCGAGAATCTGGAATCGGTTGTATTGGTTGTTGGATTGCCACGGTCTCTGGTGGTACACAAGATACTGTTGATGCGGATGTTTGTACTTTTGAAATCGGTTCGGCTGGTTTTGGTGAGCAAATTTGTTTCGTTGCCTCTTTGGCGGTCGAAATTACCGGACTAACAATCGGCGATGATGTGGCTATCGATGATGTTACTTCACATTTGGCCATTACTATTGGTGGCTTTTGCTGCTGCAGCTGCTGTTGTTGATGTTGATGTTGCTGCTGGTGGTGGTTCTGGTGCTGCTGTTGCTGTTGTTGCTGTTGTTGCTGTTGTTGCTGCGGTGAAACGATACATACGGGTTGTAGACTTTGCATTGGTCTCGCTGCATAATTCGGTTTCATTTTATTATTTGGCATTACTGATGGAATAGTGGTCGTAACAATTGGCGCTTTATTTTCAACGGTAGCCTTTTTCACTGGCGATACAGTTGCCTGATTGCTGATGATTGGTGCCGTTGAAATGGGAACATTCGCAGTGAAATTCGGACCAGCTGGTAGAGTTGAAATAACTTTACCGGTTGCCAAAATTTTTTGCTGTTCAATAAATAAACGTTGTAATGCCTGATAGATATCCATATCGTTCATTGAATTTAAATTCGTAAGCACTGGCAATGGTTTATTGTACAATGGATTCGATGGGCTCATATCGGGTCGAATTGATGACAAAAGGCTTTTATTTTGCAAACGACTAGACAATGTTTGAATTTGCATTTGCACCGTTTTCAATGATTGTTGCTTTTGTGGTGTCAATTGAATGGTTTGTACTCGAGGCACGTGGGTCGGTGATACCATCATTTGTGGCTGATTAACACTAATCAATGGCGGTAAATTCGATTGTGATGTATTTACTGTGATGGTTAATCCCTTTTGTGTTGTGTTCGATGTCATTTGGCCCATTTTATTGGCATTCATTTGATTTGGTGATTGTTGTGGCTGCTGCGATATGATTGGTTGTGTTGACAACATATTCGGCGGTTGCTGTGACATAATTCGTGATGCATTTGCCAAACTATGTGTCGGATCGTTGTTTGAATTTTGCACCACCATTGAATGTATGTGATTAGGTTGTGATGGATTAACTTTTGATACATTTATTGATTTGGTTTGCATGTCGTTTGGTACTTTTAGCGCGATATTTCCATCCGCAGGAACATTTGTTGATATAATTATATTATTCTTGGACACATCATTTTCTTTTTTCGAATTTTCATCAATTTTAGTCACTGTATCCGATTTATTTACGCCCTTATTTAATTCGGCCTTTGGTTTTTTCGATCGCGATTTCTTGGGCTTTGCTTCGGGTTTATTGTTGACAACATTTGGTGGTACGGCAGCCATTGTGGGCATCGTTGATTTTACATTTGGTAAATTGATTCTTTGCTGGTGTTGTTGTTGTTGTTGTTGTTGTTGTTGTTGTTGTTGTTGCTGCTGCTGCTGCTGCTGCTGCTGCTGCTGCTGCTGCTGCTGCTGCTG